CCCCAAAACCCCAAAACCCCAAAACCCCAAAACCCCTTAAAATGTAATTAAAATTGAACTATTTATTCCTCAACCTTGTCTTCATAGTGAACGATAGTCCAATTCTCATCCGAAAGTTGACATAAAACAACTCAAATGGTCTTTGCTTCAACTTGCTTTGAGAATTCTACGATTTGTCCTCCTGGACTATCACTAAGTTGCTCAGCAAGAATTCTTTCTGGGTCGATTAATGTTGCTCCTGATGCAATTGTTAGAGCACTGGGAGTAAATCCATCTCCATCAATAAGTTTATGGAAGGCTTCATTCCATTGATCTGCTGGTTTGTCTTCAAATTTGGCATATGGCTCTTGAACAAAAGTTCCTAACTCTTCTGGCTTGATGAAGAATGGAGCCATATTATCTTTCATTGTCTTCTTATCTGAGCCATTAAAAGCTTCAAAGAATTTATCAAAATATGATCTAGCACTTTCTTCAAAAGATTTTACTTTGATCTATAATGGTTAATGTCATAAGTTCATACCATGATTTTACGTTCAGTTTGAAGTTTATTTTTGAATATTTGACTCGAAAGTATTATCAACAAAGATGCCTTCCCAAACGACTTGGTCATTATCAACATAGACTCCGTTCCCGTGCATCTTATCTTGCTCCCATTCTCCTTCGTATGAAGAACCATCAAGATATTCTATTCTTCCTGTGCCGTGCCTTTTTCCATTTACCCATTGCCCTGTGTACCTAGCTCCATTTGTAAATAAATAAGTGCCTTCTCCGTGCATGAGGTCTTTGTTCCAGTCGCCTTCATATGTTTCACTGCCACCTAGAAAGATGAGTCTTATTGCTTACCCTTAGTTGAGGCATTCGAGGTGCCATGAATGATTATTCCTTTGCCATGCTTCATCTTGACTCCATCAAAGAGGTGCCATTCACCTTCATAACTGGTCCCATCTAGATGGGTTACAGGATTGGCTTACCAATATACTCGAATTTACCTGTACCCTCTTGAGGGACTTGAGGTACTTCCTCTTGTTCTTCCTAAACAATCATCCAAAGGAGTTACCTGTTCTTCAACTTGCGGCTCTTGAGCTTTCTTTGGCATTTAAAAATTATAAAATTTAATAAAAATTTTCAGGTATTTTTGAAATAAAAGGGGTTTTGGGGTTTTGGGGTTTTGGGGTTTTGGGG